GACACCTTTGTTGTGCGAGCGAAAACGAAGCAGACCTTGCTGCGGAGGGTTTGGTTCTTGTTTGTTTGGGTTTGAAACTTTTACAGAACTGGCAGTCACATGATCTCAAAACGGTCAAAACACGGTTTTACAACGTGTCTACTGTGTTTTCTTAGCGAGAAAAAACCCTGTTCTGAAAATTTTGAGGTGGTAACTCTTTCTATTGCTTGTTCCACAAGCTTCATTCCACAGTCTCCATGCAACTATGCAACTGTAACGTCCACAAACTCTTTCCATTTCCGCAGAACATGGCCAGTAATTGAAACTTTCGTCCAGATACTTGTCTTTTGTCATGTTCGTTTTGGCTTACGTCACAGTAGCTAGTTTGGAGGCTCAGCTCACAAAAAAAAGGAAGCGGTGGACCGCTCTAGTCTCTTCTTTCTGTGCGCCGGCTTTGCGAAGTTTTCATGAGCGACCACATCGAGTCTGCGACGCGACAGGCGAACAAGACTCTAGAAGGTGGTTTCAGTTCAGTGGAATTGGTGCAAACTCTGCTCCCTGCTTCGCTATCGTCTTGACCTGGTTCAAGCTTGGCAACTCGGAGAACGACATCTAGTTTGCAGCGACTTTTGAAGAAGATAGTTTTGAGTTCCGACAATTGCTCCAATAAAAGCCAAGAATTTGTGTTTCTGTCAGCAATGTCGCATAAGCACTTGTCTCGTCTTTGTGAATCGGTTAGTTTTGAATTTTTGGCCTGCTTGAAGAAGACCAACAGCTTTAACATTGTTGCTCTGGGAAAGGCACAACAATCATGAAAATTGGACAATGCAAAGCTGTGTGGAATAGAATTTTCGCAACAACAATGCAATCAAACACAATGCAATGACATGGAATCACTGGGTCTTGAAAGCTGGACAATGTTAGCGTTTACTTCCACACCTAAATTTCAATTAAACGAAAAAACACAAACCAAAACACTTTTTCCAACTGACAAGAAAAATAAAAAACGTTTTCCTTCCTGTAGCAGAAGAAATCGCTTTACATTTTGCCACGAAAGACAGAACAATGAATTTTCTTCGCATAGAATAGCTTGGTTCAAGAAACTGGAAAGATCTAAATAGCCACTTTGACTACCACAACAATGTTCTGTTCGTACTGCCGCTTAGTAGTGAGGTTTTCACTCCAACCAGGACGGACTTACGAGCCACGCTCTGCCTTTCGCAAAAAATGAGACTCTGAGATTGCTTTGCCTTGAACGTGAGTTGAGAACTGTGTTTTGTTGAACCTTCAGAGTGGTTTGAACAAACATTTAGCATGGCTTTGGCATGGCACTGGCATGTTTTGGCATGTTTTGGTTGCCTTGATGTGCACAGGATGAGCACAAGTGCGCTAGAGATGCTTTTGAGCATCCTTGAAGAAGCTTTCGCTCGTTTCGAGGAGGCTGGATCAGAGTGGCTGACTTGCCTGTTTGTTTTCAGTCAGCAGAAGTCCTGAGAAGCATTAGGACAGTTGCATGTGATTCCTCCTTTGTTTAGCAAAGTTGATACGGAATTCACTGGAGTGAACTGCGCAAGACTCCGAGAGATCTTGCTGAACACTTCGGCTCGTGGAGTGAAAGAGCTTGCTTCGCGTTTTCACATAGACGGGGGGTGAAATTTGGCCTAGGGCCAAGTCTCGGGTCCAGGGCCCCCTCGTCTAGCACAGATGCAATACGGTCAAACGAGAGAGAGTGTGCCTAGTGCTAGAGCAGTGCAAGCCTAGTAGAACGTGCCCTTCGCCTTAGCGATCTCCGCCAGGAACCTCTGCTTGGCCTTCTTGTCGTGTCTTTGTCTTTCTCCTTGTCCTTCTTTCCTTTTCCTTTGGAAGAACTCGCGGCCGCGCTGTCGTTCCCTTTAGTGCCTCTTTCTTCTTCTTCCTCTCTGCTTCGCCCAGACTCTTCTCGTGGCTGTACTCGCACCGGTCACCGTGCTTGCAACTTCCGTGGTCGCGCATAAGGCAACAAACTTTCTTCTTCTTCGCGTTGGCATCCCCGGGCATGCTGCTGTCAGCTTCCGCTTCCTCTTTCTTCTTCTTCTTCCTCCTCTTGTTGTCTCCGGAGTCCCCGGGCGAATTCGCATCCTGAGGACCTCCCATCGACAACGAAGAGTTCTGGAGAGCTCGCTGCCCAGCATTCATAGCGTACTCCTTCACAACCTCGTGCGCCTCTTGCCACGTCGCCACTCCTCGGAACTCACGCGCTCCAGTCGCACCTTCTCGGTAACGCTTGTCCTTGCGAACCTCTGGTGACAACTGGTCCCCGATCTTCCGCAAGTACTGGATCAGGTTCTCTCGGGCAGTCATGTCCAGGCCCACAGCTTCTGTTTCTCCGAGCTTCTCTTCCCAAAGCACTTCCCATTGATGTGCAGAGAGGCGACCCTTATGAAGTCTCTCCCAGTCATCCAGGACCCGAAGTTCCTTCTCTTCTCTTGTCTCAGCAAACAGCAGATGCTTCTGCTTCACCGCTTTGTAAACTGCTCCCGGGTCCCGTTTTAGGAGTCCATCATTCAGGTGCCTCTTGTAGATCAGCTCGTAGGACTTGAGCCTGTGCTGCCTAGCCATGCTTTCAGGGTAACCAAGGTTTCCATGTCCGACATTCCCTCGCCGTCATTGGCCAGAGCGATCGTCGCCTCAAGCTGGTCGTAGAATTCCTGCACGGAACGAAAGTCCGAGCATTCATCATCCAGCACTGGCCACTGCACCTTCGGCATCAGCGATCTTCAACGTTCTCACTCGAGGCCATGGCACGAAAGTGCACAATTGCAAAGCTCGCGTTTGCTGTGTTTGGTGGCTTGGCGACAACATTCCAGGCCGGAGTCGGTCCGCTGCTGTGGTGTCAACACACCAATCCTGCTGCAGGCGCAGAAGCGGTGTTTTCAGCTTCCCGGTCGGCTGCTGCCGCTCGCCACAATTAAGGCTGGGGGTGTTTTGGACATGCAGCTTGCGGGCCCCAGAGGCTCTGTTGAGTGTTCGGCAGGTGCCACAACCTCCTGTGAAACAAGGCCTGCCGCTTTCCACCAAGAAGGCCGGGGTTTCGACATCAGGCTCTCAGATCTCTGCGTGCGTGCTGCAAGCGAGGTCACGTTGTCTGGAGGAACTGCGTGGAGTTTGGAGAGGCCACCATCGAAGCTCCGAACACGTGGTCTGCCCGCATGGTGGTACATTGTGGTCTCAGTGGTCTCAGTCTGCGGTACCATGTTCTCTGTAGAAACCTTGTTGCGAGAAAAGCGGGAGTCGCCAGAAGGCAGAGCGGAAGCTGCTGTCAGGAGCATGATGGCACCCTTCGTACCGACGCAGCAGAGGGTGGCCCAGCGCGAGATTGTCCGGACCATCAAAGCGCGAATTGACACGTGGAAGTGCGACACCACCATCATCGCCGGCCGCTACGGCTGCGGCAAGACCGTGGCGCTCGAAGAGTCCCTGCGCGACAGGCAGGGCATCTTCGTCCACACCGTTTGGGACAAAAGTTGGAAGACGTCGCTCTTCGAGCGCTTGGGCTTGAATGGGGAACAGGAGTTTAAGGAGGTCCTTCGGCGCGTGCGTGGCAAGCTCGGCAGAGGCCGCCCATCCTGGTGCTTGACATCCCGCGATCAACCCCTCTGGAAGGCGGGGGCGTCGAGGCTTTCGTTTCCCTGTGCGACTTGCTTCGCTGGCTTCCGAGGCATGACCACCGTTGCAGATACCGTTGCCATCTTCGGCAAGTATACGTCGTCGGACAGTTCGCTGGCACACGCCGGGACCCGAAGACTCAGCCACGGTGTATAGCTGGAGTGCGGCAGGGTCTTGCAAGCTGCCCGCAGGGTTTCTTCCGAGGTGATCGTGTGCCCCTCCTCGGCTGCCGTGGCCCTGACCTTCCAGGAACGTCACAGGAACATCTGGGTGGACGACTTAACGAAGGACGAGGCCGAGGAATTGCTGAAGCTCCACGGGCAGGAGGACAAAAAGGACGAATTCCTTCGCGCATGCCCCTTGGCTGCATTGTTTGCATTTCTTCTGTCGTGAGAAGCATCCTGCGCTGAGTGGGCAGCCCCTTGAATCCCTTTAGGCGGCTACAATGCACTGGATCTGGTAAGCGCCTGCCAGCGCTACGCTGTTGATGGGGAGCAGGCGCTCAAGGCCAAGGAAGCGATGATGGAGAAGATGGCCTGGCAGGAGGTGGTGTGTTTCAAGGATCAGTGCAAGTTGCGTGGGGACACGGGCAAGGACATCCTGAAGAAGCTGGTGGACAACTGGCAGGCAGGCGTCCTAGAAGGTGCAGACTGTCTCTGCACCTCTGCAGCTCAGCGGGATGTGGCACTGTGGATCCGCGAGAACGATTGTGAGCCCGTGATCTGGCACACGGTGAGGAGAGAGTACCAGTTCGCATCGGAGCTGCACGCGAGAGTCGCAACCGAGATTTTGAGCAGCAACTCCCAGTCGACTCCATAACTGTGCGGAAAGAAGGGCATGACGTGGAGTGCAGTGTTGGGAGAGTTTCTATTAAAAAAACAGCAGCCAGGGGCCCAAAAGCCGAAGTTTGATTCACGTTGTTTTGATGCTCACTGCAGAATCGAGGTGCAGAATTGGAAGTGCCGGTGTGGCCCTCATGCTTTGCCCCCGGGGTCCTGTCGTGTTCTGTCCCGCCGGCCCGCGCCAACATCGAAACACTGCCA